TTTATGGAAGCGAAAATAAAAAAAAAAAACCAAAAATGATACATAAATGATCAGTGACGGTGGCAACCATGGGGTGTGCGAGTGTTGCGGTCGCATGGGGCCTCCGATTTTAAATGGCCTCCGAATTTAGAGACATACATATAGTAATAATGTTGGTATTTTCATAAAATATATTTTTATGTGGTATTATCAAATAAAATTAGCACTTAGCTATATACATAATGTAATGTTTTGTTATAATCTCGAAGTAATTTTAATTGTGAAAAAATTAGCAAAAATCAAAAATCAAAATCTTATCATATATATTAAAAAATTTCAACAATTTAAAGAAAGTATCCATACCAGAAAAATATATATGTTTCTAATATCAGTTCAAGCAAACATTATAGATTTTTATAAAACTCACCAAAAATATTAAACCCTAACAAACCTAATAATGGTGCTAGTAGATCACATGTGTTGCTCGTCTCTCTCACCAACAACTGTTGTTATGTTGATTTGAATCTTGATATCTTGATGTCGTTGGAAGTCACCTTATCATCCTCTAAGTGCTCTAATTGACTCCCTAACTACATGTTAATATCTTTTATTTCTTTAAATTTCTCAAGTCGCAACCGTGCTTGACTGTTCTCTCTCAGGCTAAATGCTCATTTCTATTTGAATGATTTATTTATAAATTTATAATGACGCTAATAAATAATAAAGTAGAGAAAGTAAAAAAACAATGTTATTTTTGTATAGTATAGCTTGTAAATTGTGTTTATCACTATTTTTTTTTTTTGACAAAATTGCAAAAAATGGTCACTTTGGTATGCATTTTTTTTCTAGGTTTAGTCCAAACCTCGAATTTTTTGATTTCGTGGTCATTTTAAGCTAGTTTTGTTGCGAATTTGATCACTCAGTATACTGAAACGATTGTAATACCATTGTGGTATTTATTTTCTATTTTCTTTCATTTTTTAAATCTAATACTTATTTATTTATATAAACAGTTAAAAAAATTAAGAAAGGCCCTCTTCCTCTCTCTCTTTATAATACTTTTTTTTTCTTTCTCTTTCTTTCTCATCTCCTTCCCTTCACCTTTTAACTTGCAAATAAGATGAAAAAAAAAACCCAGATTGCAATGAAATAATAGTTTGACACAATGAGCTCCTTATCCATGTTTGATCAAGCTTTGTCTTTCATTGTCATGCATATATCTTCATCTACAACCCATCTTCTTGTTTAAACATTGCATATCTTCATATGTCTATCATTTTTCTTCAAACAAAAAATTCTACGGTTCTTTATAGGTTCATCAACTCAAATCCTAGAAATCCATCATCATCTTCTTCAAAACCCATTTCGATTATCTCTATGCAAAACAAAATCTGGTTCCATTATCGAATCCCATAATAACCAGGTTCAACAGAGATATGTCCTTTCATCTTCACTTATGTTTAAAAATTAAATCATCACACTCATAAATAAGATTACAACTCAGATGTATTTTATCGATCACATATCCTATCAAAAGGAGAAAAGCACGAATGTGAAAACCCTAAAATCCGACCTTTAAAACCCAAAAAATCCACATTCAAAGATATAAATGTTCATCATTTGAAATTAGACCTTGAAACCCATTAAATCATATCATGACACCCTTGAGATCCAAACTTGAAAACCTTAAAATTGGAATATATGAAATTGAACTGATGGTCTTACCTTCATCAGATGAGAATGTGTGTAGAGAGGAAGACGCAAAGGCTGAGGATTTGGGTTATGTTCTCCGATAACAATTTACTAATTGGTTGTCAGCGAAAAAAAGAAAATGGTAGAGGGAACGAGTTTGGTGTCATGATGGTATGGAGAAAAGGGGAGAGGATAGAGAGGGAGGAAATAAGTAGGAGGTGATAATTGGTGGTTGTTGTGGTTATTGCCAGAAAATGGAGGTGTAGAGGAATGAAGACAACGAGGGATGAGGTTTGGAACCAAAGCAGAGAGAGAGAGAGAGAGAGAGAGAGAGAGAGAAAGTGTGTGTGTGTTTAAATTGTAACACTTGAATATGATATGTTCTCTTTCAACCCTCCTAGTTATGATCCTTTCACTTTTGGCTCTTATTGTTAGTACGCAGGGGTACCATAGGGTACACTTAGCATACTAGCTGAGAAGCTAGTACGTGGGGCGTACCATGTGTGTACCCCTAGTGTACTAATGCGAAAATGGATCACGCCTTCAAGCACGTACATGGGATGTGCGTTTATGTACACGGGGGGTACGTGTAATTTAATGAAACCCTAATTTGGGGTGTTTCACCCTATATAAGATCCTTAAGTCCCTAGGGCTAGCCTCTTTATCAGCCTCCATTGCCATAAAACCCTAATCTCGAACCCTAATAGCGTATTTGAGTGTTCTTGTGCCTTGGTCTTGATTTTTGGTGGTTTATGCTCCTTGAAGTGAAAGAAGAAGAAGAAGTTGGAAGATTCATTCATTGGAAGGAAGCTTAGAGATCTAGATTTGGCTCCATATTTTGTTGACTTTTGAGGTATAAAGTCCCAACCTTGGTCCTTGTATGCTTAGACCTCTTCATGTCATGGTTTTTATGCTTTTGGTCCCTTTTGGGTCAGTTTGATGAGTTAAGTCGTTTGTGGGGCTTATCCTTTTAGATATGGGCGTATTATGAGTTTCTTAAGCTTAAAGGTGCAAACTTTAGGGTTTGATGGTCTCATCCATGCATTAAGTCATCTATTAAGTCTTTTTGAGCTTTAAGAGCTTCATTAAGCCATGCATGCATGTAAAGGTAGCAACTTTACATGATAAACCATCTCAAGGAAGTCAGATCTAAGTTTTGGAGTGAAGTTTTAATGGATTAAGAGCTAGAAAATGTAAAATAGCCAAACAGGGGAGTACGTTGGGCATACAAATAGGTACGCTTAGCGTACAAGCCCTAAAGCGAGTAAGTTGTGCATACGTGCTAAGTTCGCTCCGTGTACTCCGTTACTTGGGCTTTAGACATTTTGGGCTTTTATTTGGGACATATTTGGACTTAGATGCTTAGGGCCTTGTTGGGCCATCAAGTTTTTGGGCTGATGATTGTTTTGGGTTCTCTTGAAAAAGGCCCACGAAAGGGAATTGGGCCTAATTTGGAAAATTGGGCCATGATTGGGTATTGGATGAGTATTTTGGTAATCGTGCCTTTTAGATGATAGATTTGGGCCTTAGTCTTGGACCAAACTAGGTAAGGGGTAAAATGGTTATTTTACTCTAATTTTAGAAGGATGGTTTTGGATTGGAATCCAATTATTAATTGGATGTTATTTGATATTGATAGCTTAGGGATTTGTCAGACTAGCAGGCAGAGATTATCAATGTGATTCAGCAGTTCGATGTGAGTTTCTTCATTGTGTTTAACGGGGACCGATGACCATTTTGTATGTTATGTATCTTTGTGATTATTGCATGTGTATGTGTTTATGTGATATATGTTTATATGTATGTCGGGCGGGGACTGATGACGTGCAGGGCCTATTATGTGTTTATTATGTATGGTATGTGGTATTTTGGAAAACTCACTAAGCTTTATGCTTACGGTTTCAATTTATGTTTTAGGTACTTGTAGTTCTAAATGGAAGAGCTCGAGATGATTGTAGAGCACACACCACCTCGTTCTGCATTTTCTTGATTTACTCTGATATAATATGATGATTGATATCTTTGTTTATCTAGATTTTATGATGATGTTTTTGGGATGATGCTAGTTTTATTAATTTAAAAATGAAAATTTTCTGGGATGTTATATATATATATATATATATATATAGAGAGAGAGAGAGAGAGAGGTGGGTCCTTTTAGTTTTATCGTTTAAATAGATAAATAAGTATTAGATTTAAAAAAATGAAAGAAAAATAGAAAATAAATACCCCTAAGGTATTAAAGTAATTTCAATTTACTAATGGACTAAATCCACAACTAAACTAGCTCAAAAGGACCATCGAGCCAAAAAAACCAATGTTTGGACTAAACATCGGAAAAAATGCATATAGAGACCATTTTTTCAATTTTATCTTATTGTTTTAACTTTTCAATGTTTGGTATTGAGGGGTAAACGTATGACATCAATGGATTTTAAGGTGGTGGTGGGGAGGGGAGCATAGGCTTCCTATTATTTGTCTTTTAATATTAGTATAATATAGTCTAATATTTAAATAGATTAGAAAATCAAATTTTTTTTTGATGCTCTAACTAATTTAAACATCATTTTTTTCATAAATATTATATATATATATATATATATATATATATATATATATATATATATATAATTGAACTGCAAGTGCCACAAGATGTGTCATTTGTAGATGAAGATATAGTGATCTTGAATGATAATGATGATAACAAAGAAGATATTTCAGTAAACATCTTGATCCTAGAACCTAGATCTTCGAACGAGATGAGATATAATGTTGTGGTAGTGAGTTTACAAACTTTGAGTTTTGAATTAAGTGGTAGTAAATTTACTTAATAATATTTTAGAAGAAAATTTTTTATAGAGCCTCACTTTAATTTCGCACAAGACCTCCGAAATATCAGAGCTAAACCTGTAAATGATAGTTATTTTTGAGCTTTTTAATAAATAAATATGAATTTTTTAATAAAAAAATATAAATGGTATCTTGTTTTTTTAATAAATATATATGATTTTTTTCCAATGAATTTAGTATATAATCAAAAAGAAATCTCCATAAAAATTCTAAACTTTAAACTTATTAATTAAAAAAGTAATAACTTTTTATTTTCGAACAAAATTCGAAAAGCCGATAATATCTGCCTTAACTGGATACAAAAGACTCATTTTACAAACATTTACCGATTTTTCTGGTAAATCGTAAAATAACATTTTTCGTTAATAGAGTGTTGAGATACTTTCGTGGAGAAAATCTAATTTATGCCTTAATTACCACACACCACACCAGGATTGTTATCATTTGTGTGCGAATCTGGGCAGCGGGCAGGGGAACCAATGAAGGGCTCTAATCTTCTACGTGCTCCAACCTCTCTCTCGACTTCACTTCCACTATATTCTCCTCTCAAATTCGTAGCCCCCTTCAGAAATCCCATATGTTTCAGTCACCTGATCCTAAGTTCTTTGAAGCTTCACCCAATTCGCATCTCTTCTCTGCACGCTACTGGTAAATTCTATCTTCCTGTCTTATTTGATGTTACGAGGTGCAGATTGGTAGGTTTTTGTTATTATACAAAAATTTTATTAGATTTTGACATTTTGTGGATTAGGTTCAGATGGTAATGATTTTCTGCTCGGTAAATAATAGGTATTGTAGTAATAATGATACTAGGATAAGTGAACGAAATTGAACTGGTTGATTTTGGATTGTTTTGTGAAATTTTTAAGTGGGTTTCCAGTGCTCTATAACTCGATTTGGTCAGTGGTAATCGAACGAGTCAAAATCAAATGATAATGATATTCCTTCTTTTTCTTTCAGCTACTCAAGAGACTGTAGAAGTTGGTGAGACTGAGTCACAATTTGTTGAAATTGGGTACATATCTAGCGTCCATGGACTACAAGGAGAGGTTCGGGTCAAGCCTAACACAGATTTTCCAGAACTGAGATTTGCAGAGGTACAAGTCCAAATACTTTTACTTCACTTATTAGATAATCAGAATCCACATTGGTTTTTGAGAATGTTGTAATGCAAAAGATAGCTACTTACTTTCATTTACTTGTATATTATAGCATCCCACTTTCATTTATAGCATTTGTGATTTTGAGAATGTTGTTTATGTTTCTTAGTAGACTTTGTGTTGTATTTAGCCAGGAAGGAGATGGTTGAAGAGACAGATTTTAGGGAGAGAAATAGTTGAAGAGGTTGAGTTGATGGAGGGAAGAGGACACCATGGACAAAAGAGTTGGATAATTAAAATCAACAACATTGACAAAGTAGAGCAGGTATACTTTCTAAATTGATAGTTTTTTTGTTAAATCATATCCAAGAAATTGATGAAATTTTGATAAACCATTATATTTTCTTTTATAAATTCTTAATGTTCTTAGGCTCAACAACTCGTGGGGTCAACAATACTTGTATTGGATGAAGATAGACCAGAGTTGGAAGAAGGTGACTTTTATGCACGTGATCTTGTTGGCATGAGAGTTACTCTTCAGGTATTTGTTTATAGTTATCTCATGTCAATTTTTAATAGTGGGAAATGGAATGATTTTTTTTTAATATATTCCTTTCTTTCCATTTTAGGAAACTGGTGAACCAGTGGGAACTGTTGTGAATGTTTTCGACAATGGAGGAAGTGATCTCTTACAAGTTAAGCTTAATTCATCTTTAGATATAATAGACAAAAATGGAAAGATGAAATCAGAAGCACCTCTTGTGTGGGTCCCATTTGTTGAAGCAATTGTTCCTCATGTTGATATGATAAAACGAGAAATGACGATTACGCCCCCTAAGGGACTCCTTGAATTAAATGTAAGGTCCGATGAAAGGTCAAAGAAAGAACGCCGACAGCTTGTGAGTCAACCTTTTCTATCTTTCTATTGTTTTTCAGATTCTTTATTTGGGATTTCTCATATTTAATTGTTTTTTCAGGAATGGAAAGATAGGAAAAAGTTTCAGAAAAGGGTTATAGCAGCAAAAAAGAAACTGTGTGAAATGGAACAGAAGCATGTTTTTGAGGGGTTTAGATATGGAGAGAAATCTCAAGGGAGTTTATTAGCTGAACAGATTGTTGGTGTTAACTCCCAACTGCTTCAAGTAGCATTAAAGACTATTGAGACACCTTCTGACAGGTGGCATTTATCCGAGTTCTTGGAAGCATATAATAAAGAAACAACAAGAGATGTTTTCAAGGTTTCAAAAGGGTGTCTTGTTAGTGAAGATAAAGAGTACACAAGTTCCAAGATAACAGAGAGGTGTAAGGCTCTGATATCCAATGGCAAAGTTGCAAATATTTTGGTTGTTGAGGGTAAAAGTTCTGAATCTGAAGGGACTGATAGATTTATCCAAAGATTAGTCGAGGTAATACTACTAGGATTCGTTGACTTTTGAGGTCAAACACACTATGCAATTGTTCTTTTCGCATTAAACTAAAAGAACACTCATATAGTCAATACATATGATCCTAATGATTAAAATTTTGTGTTTGCAGATGGAAAGCCATGGAACCACACCTTTGATTCTGGTTTGTCCTATTAACAAAATGGAAACATTTCAAAACTTGATGACAGATAATGACTACTTCGGCTTTGATCCTGAAAAGGTTATAGAATTCTTCTCTATTCATTACTAAAATTTTCAATTTACCTTGAAAATTTTGTTATGTTTCTAATTATGGTTGAAAACTGATAACCAACATTTTACATTCAGGTTTGGATTTTGGAAGAAGAAAAGTTACCAGTTGTAAGCTCTTCACATGGAGAACACAAGATCTTGATGAAATCCCCATGGGAAATACTCCAAAAGCCAGTTGGATCTGGTGGTGTCATTAGCTTACTTTCATCACACAATAGCTTAGAGTCTCTTGCTGCAATGGGTGTTGAGTATATTGAGGTAACACACATCTTTTAATAGTCTTTAAGTTTAAGAAACACTTGTATCCCTCAGTAAGTAAAAAAGAAACAACACCTATCTTGTGGGATTTATTTATTTATTTATTTTAAATAAATTCTATCCTTTTGCAGATTTCTAGTGTAGATCAAAGATATATTGGTGGGGAGGATCTTGTTGGTTTGGTGGATTCAAGTGAAGCTGATGTTGGGATAAAAACCTTTGGTGGCATCAATGGCGTTGATGATATTTTCAACATGGTATTTTCTATAAAATATATAACACAATTGACAAAAAATATCAACAAGTTGCTATTTGATGCTGTTTTGAGGTCAACCCAACACGTGGAGATGGTTGACAAAGAATGGGTGGATATAACACCTTCAACACATAACTCATATGAGTTTCGTTCTTCAATTTATACTTGTTTAAAAGCTTGTTCTTTTGATAAAGTTTGTGTAATGGAGGTTGTGGATTAGATTTAGATGATAATATCTAAAACCCTTTTGTTGTATTAAGTCAATAGTTATACTAAATATATTTCTACAACCCATATATTAATTGAAAATGGCAATTGTATCTACTTCACATATAAAAACCAAATCCCCTACATACACACACACAAGAACATTCATTCATCATGACATCATCCTAATTGCTCAAAAATATATCATCATGAAGATGATGATGATGACGACCCATGGATTTCATTCAAACTTTTGGTCTTGTTTGTTGACCTTGTTATTGGGTCAATGGCACACATTCAATCTCTATGACTATCTCACCACTCTCAACATTTTGCAATTTTAGAGAAACCTCTTGTTTTGCTTTTCTTTCTGCAAGTTTGACCACACCATTCTTGTTGACATTCGGCTTGTCTTTGTCTTCTGCCAACTTCTTTTCAGCTTCATTTGCATTACCATTCTCCAAAGCTTTTGCAGCAGAAACTAATGCTTCAATATCAACCTCAGCCTCACCCATATAATCATCCGTTGTAAACTTATCCTTATCAAAAACAACCTACAAAAAAAAAAAATGGAAAAATTCTTACACAAAAATTGATTTTAGTTTGTTTAATAAGAAACAAAAGTAAGTTGCTGTAATTATATTTGACTTTACCACTTTCAAAGGCGGAATGTCATCAGGAATTGACAACATTAACTTTTCATTCCAAACAGGATTGAGGTTGTTCTTTATAACCCGTGTCTTCACTGACTGCACCCAAAACATAATTTTTATAATGTATTTGAAATTATAATGTTGTGATAGGAAGAAATGAAGTAGGATTTTGTAATAATAAAAAAAGAAAATTTATAAGGTTTTAGGCTTACTTGATTTCCCAAACAGAGCATAACATAAGGATCACTACTCCTGACATCTCTGATAACAAGATCAATGCCTCTGACCACATTGACCTTTATCAAACCAACAAATTCCACCATACCTGCCTATAAACAACATATCACACATCAGACAAATAACTTCATCAACACTTAAGGGGATTCACGTCTTTTACACCCAACAAAAAAAATTGCTAGTCACAGTCAGTATCAGTATCAGTATCAGTATCAGGGTGAGGGTGATTACCGTTGAGTTACTTTTTCTGGCGGGCTTTACTTCAGCATCTTTTCTTTTCCTGGTGTTAAGAAAAGCTTGGCTAATGTTATGCATACGCATACTGTTTAAATACTTCTTCTCCACTACAGAATTTAAGCCTGCAGAACTGCAGTTCAAGGCTGCTGGATTGAATGGGCAAGACAACTGTTCCTCCATGTTCAAAAACTGTTGCATTACATACTTTCTCCTGTATATATACAGATAAAGTTTTCAGTAGTACAATCAGTTTTTATTAGGGATAAATAGATAGCAATGTATTATTTCTTATTAGGCCATTATACTTTGAAAACTTCACCTGTTCTTATAATAAATTTGAAAGTACAATGTCCTAATAGAAAATGTTTGGTTTTCCTTCAGTTTACCTGATAAAATCAGAACGGTCTTCTATAGAAGAGTCTGGTTGTGGTTTTCTACGGTTTTCTGGAATGCTGTCTTCATATTTTGAATTTACTGCTTCATTTCCACCAAGTTTTATCACATTATCAACATCTTCTTCTGTCCACTCGTCTAGATTCACTGACAATATCTGTGCCAAAAACTTTATAATTAGTTTATATCATGATTATGATCAACAGGTAAAATGAAATTTATATAGTTTGAAAAATAGAAATGATTAATTACTACACCTTTGATATATGCACTCCGAGGCTTCTATGTACTCCTGAACACTTAATGCACACAAATGCTCCAAGATTTGCAGATCTGGTCACACCCACAAGGTGGAATTTTAGTTGGAGAAAAAACAAAGATACAAAGTTAAGATCAAACAGAATTTAAGAAATGATAGCTCGCTTTCTCTGTGATCTAGCAAATTCAAACTCCAATGATGTGATTATGTTAGATGAAAAAATTTGTATTGATAAATATTAAAGCTTAGGACTTACACCCATTTTGGACTTGGAGATCCACAATCTGCACATAACTCATTACCAGATTCAGATGAAAAACTTGCTAGCCTCTTTTTTGCAGCTGATGAATCTGACATTGCAAAAAAAAAAAAGTATGAATCTGATATGTAAATGAATCATTAATGATTTATAATAAAAAATTAAACTTACTGGAGGATGATGTCTGTTCATCTGATTCATCGTTCCAGTTTTCTTTTGTATCTATATGTAAGAGGTCATAGAGGCAAGTTGCTGCAATGATAAGTGAACAAATCAGATTCAGAGGTAAAGCTTTAACAGCCTACTAAAAAGTCAAAATAGCACCAAGTCAAACAAAGCATAAACATAATTGTTCGTTTTTCATCATCAAATTGTTGGTCCTCTTGGAAAGGAATTGATTATGCATATATTAAAGGGAACATTAATTGTTCTTATTGTGTTGGCATAACCCTTAAATCATACACAAAATAAGCTGCAAAGCTCAAGGAAAGAAGACGACTCGGTTATTACCTGATACTTGGTCGACATCCTTCTTCTCCTGATTCTTGGCAGACATTCTTTCTCAGCAATTAAAAGATAGAAACAAATGTGTAAACATTTGATCTCTCTGCATTTTTATTTGCATTATACGTAAATGTTAATTTCACAATTCACCGAATCCCCTTCTGCAGAGGTTCATTTACCGTTCCCGATGACCACATATCAGCAACATATAACAAATGTGATAGGTTTTGGAGATTGAATTCGGAGGGAGATGATGATGATGATGATCCACAGGTCAAAATATTAAAAATTCGCAAGAAATTTGGACTTTTGGTGATTATACATCAAGATTTTTGAAGAACTTTTGCTACTTGTGAAATAAGCGTCGGAAATTATTGGGAAAAAAGGTCAAAATTTGGACGAACAAAACCTAATTATTGTTGGGTTTTGAAAGAAGAAGTTATTTCGGTAGTTGATGGATTGCATGTTGGTGGAAGATTTCGTGGTGTCTCCGCTGTTGGCTTGTCTTTATCATCTAGAAATTACATGTATTAACTTCAAGATTGTCTATATGGCAAATACACCCCCTTACACACACGGTTAATATCATAAAATGACAACAAATAGTATTCAATATGTCAACGGATTTTTTTTTTTTTTTTTTTGGATTCTCATTACATCATGTGTATTTCAACCGTATAATTCTGCAATATTGAATGCCACAATGGATATCATATCAACGTCAGATATACATAAATTAACAAATTTTATCATATTAAATGTTACAGTTGACCCAATGTATGATTTAGTCGCAATTTAACGGGTTAAAATCACAACCCTAATAGTGTAAGAAGAACCCAAAATTATTCGGACACGATTAAAAGATGATTGGCTTAAAGAACATACATGTAAAAACCTTTTTGATACCGTGCTTAATAGATTGTTATATAATTTAAAGTTGGATTGTTGCTTCTATTTTTCTCATGCTTCCACTCATTTATGAACTTGCGGGTCAGTTGCCCGACTCAATCCACACCATTTTGAGTTTAATATACGAGACCACTTAGCATCCATCATGATGTCTTGTTGTTAATAGTTATGGAGGTAATGAGTACTATCTTTACTTTAGCTTTAAATAAAGACAACTTGGTGAATCGGTTGTCTTATATATTTTTTTGTAGAAGGTATAATGCTCCTTTAGTGGAGATACCAATCGCTTGTCTTATAGATTTACAATTTTTAGAAAGATTTAATGCTCCTTTAGTGGAGACATCCTCTTACTTTTTCAACACTTGTGGAGAAATAACCTATCAAAAGTTTCCAATTTCATTAAACATCAATCATGAAGAACTAAAATGGTTTGCATAATCGCACTATCCATTAAGGAGTTATCTTTTCGAATATTTGGGAGTCTTTAATTCCTTATATCCAAGACCAAGGGGAAATGTGTTTTATTTTTGTCCTTTTATTATGTTATTTAATTCCTTTGATATTTTTAATGTAATATATTTGAATAAATTTATTTTATATATATAGAAGCCTAACACACCCACATCAACTAATTTTTGTTTTTTTGTTTTTGTTTTTGTTTTTGTTTTTTTTTTTTTTTTGTTTTTATTTTTTTTTTGTTTTTTATCTACAAAAGAACCTGAACTCTCAACTCATTAAGAAATGAATACATTTTCAACACTTTGATACCGATAAACCAAAAACCCTTTGGTATACATGACACTGTCAGTAGATGTTTTCACCGACAAGTTTATACTATGTAGGATGCTAGTTGTCGTTATGACTCTCACATTTTATACTCGGTTAGGCACATTTTTATGTATATTGGGTTGGGCCTATTTCTATGTATGTTGGGCTGGGCCCATTTTCATATTAGGTTGGGGCCATTTTCATGTATGTTGGATTGGACCCATTTGCATGTTGGGTTGGACCCATTTGTATGTATGCTGGGTTGGTCCCATTATATGTTGGGTTGGGTCCATTTATATGATATGTGGTATTTTGGGGAATTCACTAAGCCTTATGCTTACGGTTTGTGGTTTGAATATTTTCAGGTACTTCCAGTTCTAAAAGGAAGGGACCGACTTGTGTGACGTCCCAAAAACCATGATAAAATTTTTCATTTTTATAAAAATTCCCATAAAACCATAAGATAGTAGACCATTGTTTTAAAATCAAATTCATAGAATCAAAGTATCAAAAATCTTTCAAAACATAAATTAGCAAGAGGATGTGTACGATCACACATTCGTCTTCCCACAATCAATAATGGTACCTAAAAAACATTTATAAACATCTAGGTAAACACAAAGCTTAGTGAGTTTCCCCAAAATACCACATACCAAACAAGTAATGGGCCCAACCTAACATACATGCTTTCAGGCCCAACCCATACATTAAGGCCAAGCCCATATAATCGAGCCCATCCCATATAATTAGGCCCAACCATACAATAAATTTGATTTTCAAAATTAACTAATTGTGAGTTCAATACATATCGATTGAAGGCAAACGGTCAACAAGCTGTGCCGCTAGCCCTTTCTGGATGACAAAACCAATTCTTTTGAAAACAACATTTGTGGATCTAGGAGATACGCATGAAAGAGTCACAAAGACATACCAGCATCTTATAGTATAGTGAGAAGACTCACCTCCACAGCTATCAGATATCCATACTGATGGGTTTTGAACATAACAAACAATCATATGTGTGCATGCAACCCTAAATAATTTGATCCACATTTTCTTTAATTGAACATACAAATTGAACAACAAAGTAGAAACCCTAGTATACTAGTATATAATCAAAATACAAAATAAGGGTTAAGAAAACCATACTTCAATTGTTATGTAGTAAAAACAATGAAAACCTTGTGTTGTTGAAGCCTTGAGAGCAAGCGGCACAAATGTCGTGCCTTTAATGGTTCACACTCAATACTAGCAAATGAAGAATGATTGAGAAAGAGAAAAGGGATTCAAAATTTCGGCTAGGCCTTCCAAAGAAGAGGATGACCAAAATCCATAGGGTATATCCCTATTTATATTGCAGTCAGGAAACCCTAGATAAGCCCAAATCCAAGATTATCTTAAACCGAGTAATTATCCACTTTCCTAATTATCCATTAGGGATTGTTCTAGAAACCTTTAGGCATCAAGAAATCATCTAATCCTAATGGAAAAACCGTCCATAGACTATAAAGGGTTCTAGATGCCTTTTGCTCAACTATTGAGCAATTACAGTTCAGTCCCTACACTTTCAATTCCAATAACTCACCCTACAACTAAAAATTACAACAAACTCACTTTTTGAAAAACTACAAATTACAACAAACTCACTTTTTGAAAAACTAAAAATTACAACAAACACACTTTTTGAAAATATAGAGTAGAGCATGCATTATACCTAACACTATTGTATTGATGGCCAGGTGGGGTTTGTAATTCAAAGTACTTACAACACCATGTGGTTTACAACGGCTAATGACATAATGTTCCCATCAATTATTTTTTAGAATTTTGTTTCCATCACAAAGTTTCACTATATTGGGATCATAGGATGCCATCTTTATAGGCCTACTTGCGATGTCATCATTGTCATATATCCATATTTAGCATATAATCGAGATTTGATTTTATATCTTATAATATATTTTCATGTTTTTACATTTTATACTACCATAAAATAAACTAATTCTAATATTAATTCATTTGGTAAGGGCAGGGAATCACAATGGATCATTTGGTAAGGGCATTAGCTACCAAGTTATAATCTTTGACATGGGCGTCTTTGAGGGTGTGTGGGATGGACAACCATACAGGGTCCATGTCATGGAAGGGGCCCTATTTTACATATGATTCAGTTTATTGTCTAGAAATCAGTAATCCATTAATAAATAAATAATAAGCTCATGTTCTTTTCAATTCCAATAACTCATCCTACAACTAAAAATTACAAGAACCCACGTTTTAAAAATTAGGCTTAAAATTAAAAATTGCATTTTGACTAATGTAAATTTATAGCAAACAAGAACTTATTTTTTGTTCCAATTCCAATCTTCCAAATTTAAAGCATGATTCTTGTTTTCTTATTCCACCAAACTCTACCTCTCATTTTTTTTTTATTGTACATCTCTAGTTTTTTTTTATTGTCAATTGAAATCAAACAAGGATTTCATTATTCATAATTTCTAAATCTGACATCCTCTCATTTTTATATTCCGATTGTTGTCGTTGATTATCGAGTGTAACACACTAACACACATATACTGAATGATTGGATTTCTAACTTCACCTTAGTGCATTACGGAATGTGAGATCTGTTTTGAATGATTTCTCTAATTACTAGTTCCCCTTAGTTTATGTAATTATGTTCTTTGTGGCATCCGTGTATTTGATTAGAACAACATTTATGACCTTCATATTGTTGTTAATGTAATATCATATATAATTTTCAGAAATTGTATCTCCTAAGCATTTATTGGATAGTGAAAAACGTAAAAAGAGAACGAGAATGAGAGAATGAAGAATTAAAGTCTTGGAGTATTTCTCTTGATAAGTTTATCCAAAAAAAAACCTCAAGTTTCTTCTTAAAATCAAAACAGTGGTGATATTAATGTTGATATTGCAAGTGTTGACAGAGATTAAAACTAAAGTTGTTAAAGTCCTACTTGCACTACACAAAGTCACAAGAAATACTTAATGGATTGACAATGATAGCTATTGAAAATGACATATTGGAGAATATTGATTATGAAGAATTGGGAAACAATTTGGCTTCCAATATTGCCATGAGAGCCTTGCGATTCATGTAATAATGTTTGATTATATATTGTATTATCGTTATTTTGTTCAGTTGTTTTTATAACATTTGTCGAGTTATTGTTGTATGAACAAATTTTGCTTTTTTATAAAAAAAAAAAAATTATATTTAAGAGGCATTTTTATTTTTCGCACAACCCCTGAATATCAATGGGAAGCTTCTGATCTTTGAGGTTCTATTAGGAATATTTTTATAGGGTAATGCAATGTCTTTTTGAATACAAGGTGTGACATTGGGTATCTTCACCAAAATGACTTTTTGGTTTTTATCCTATAGTGTTTCAAACCCACAAAATGTAAGAAAAATAGAGGTAGCACCACACAAGATATTGCGGAAACTTCTGTACTTACGACAACTAATTTGTACCCAAAAAAAGGGGGAAAAAGTAATTGGTAAAAACTGCAAAATTTTAAAAATATAAATAAAGATGTGAAAAAAGTTGTAGAAAAGTAATTTTGTAAAAAAAAACATTTATTGATCTAAAGTTTCTAAAGAATTAATAAAATTTTGTTCGTGCGTTGTAAACGAAGTTATATAATATAATAAGATGTCTCATGATGAATGCAATATATGACAAACCATACCACATTTTCTTTTGGGATCTTGTCCGATAGTTTTTTATTTATTTTATTTTTTTCTACTTTTACCATTTTGCAAGATATAAGGTGGTGTTTACTAGTTTAGGATGAGATTAGGATGAGAT